GAAGTCAATTCAATATCAATCACATTAACAGAAATGTAGTCCTTGCTGTATTTACCAGACCTTGAGAATTGTGATCTGTTCTAGGCATCGTGCTTTAAGAATTACAGTGACAAGCTAGAATGGATCAAGAAGTAAGACTTCAGGGTGATGACACTAGTTGGAATCACTTCAGATGCAGTCCAATTTAAGGACCTAAAATATAATTTGACATAGGGAAGACCTGGCTATGAGTTCTGAAGGGTGGTCGCTGGGAAAAGCAAACACAAAATATTCTTCTAGCTTTACAAGGACCAACAGGTAAAAGTAACAGGTTTTACGTTAAACATTTTCTAAACCCATAGGGCAATCCAACATCAGAATGGCTGCCTGGAGGAGGAGATCAAGAAGTGGAGGCTGGAGAGGCATTTGTCAGGGACACTGTGGGAGGGAGTGTGGTCCCTTGGGCCGCAGGGCTCTTCATGTTCTTTCAGCTGAGTCCCTCTTCCTTCCTGCTGCTAGTTGTCCTCCTTCTTTAGGAACTCTTAGCTCAGCTGAACCTAGGATTCTATAAGTTAGCCATGCATGGCTGTAACAATTAGAGGTAACCCAACATCTACCTGCTCCCAATAAATAATAAATCTTATTAAAGTCAAGATGTATCTTCTTCCTTGTTAACCTTTGAGGATTGTCACACTGTCATAGAACAGGTGCTCATCTGAGAGCCAGGCTGAATTTTAGCCAAGATAGCTTATGCTTTCATTTACTCTCAAATTATTTACAAGCACAAGCCAGGGGTCTCTTCAGATGTGCACGTTATGCTTGCAGGATTGCCTTTTTCCTTCTGGGTCACCAGGCTCCCTCTCTCCCCCACATCCCAACCTCACAGCAATCTGAGAAGGAAGCTGGGAAATTGGGCCTCCTACCTTGACAGGTGAAGCATCTGATGTGGAAGTGGTTATTATGAACACGAACCACTTCCCCTTTGCAGGTGTCTCCGCATCGGTAGCACTGGATGACATTGGAGCTGCCCCGGGGATTGTAAGGATTCTGCTGATAAGGAACTGTAGAAAGAAACAAAGAGATCACTATCTAGAAGGCCCTAATGCTTTAAAAAAGCCACCATATGACATCATAACCTTAACTGGAACAAAGAGCAGAAAGGGTAGAAATGATTAGCAAAGGACCTTCCATTCATCATCGGCAGTGTGCCACACGAAGGCAGCGCTGAGTGAGTGGCATGGAGATGTGAGTTCACACACCCCCCCACACAGGCAGAGACTTAGTGAACACAGCCTTTCCTTGCAATAATAGAGGCTGAATTCCTGAATGAAGAAAAAGAAAAGAGGAAGTAGAGTATTCAAAAGTAAACGATCCAGAAATACCTTTCTTGGGTGATCTCTCAATCAAAATTAGTTCCCAAACTTTCCAAAAAGAATTTGGGTCTTACAAATTGATTCACAGGTCTCCAAAAAATG